TCATCAGTGCAGCTGCCTTCACTTGTGATCAGCGATCCCAGATACACAAACTTGCTGACTTTCTCATATTTATCGAGTACATCGGTATGAGGGAGTAGTTGAGCTCTATCTACCACCATAATTTTCGTTTTCGTATGGTTGATCTTCAGACCAAGCTTGGCACTCTCTACTTCTATTTTCTTCAGCAGACTTGCCATCTCCAACTCACTTGACGCAACTATCGTAGTATCGTCCGCGTATCTAAGATTGGTAATTTTATGACCACCAACAGCAACGCCGCCATCCCAGCCATCTAATGCTTTCCGCATAATATGTTCGCCGTAGAGGTTAAACAACTTTGGAGACAAAATGCAGCCTTGACGCACTCCTCGTTCTGTGTGGAAGGACTTAGAATTCTGGTTCTCCAATTTCACGAAGCTCGTGCCATCAAGGTACAGATTCTGAATCAGGAAGGCAAGGTGCTCAGGCACACCCATCTCAATAAGCACATCAAACATGGTATTCCACTGCACGCAATCAAACGCCTTAGCATAATCTATAAAGCACAAGACCAGTGGTATATTAAACTCGCGGCATTTTTCAATAAGCACGCATACATTCAAAATCTGTTCGCGAGTACCCTTTCCAGCTACAAAACCAGATTGTTCACTCGGTATCTGGTGGTCGATGAAAGGCGAAAGTCGGTTGTTAATTATGCGCAGCAGAATTTTACTCGCATGTGACATGAGAGAGAGGGTCCGGTAATTTTCACACTTCTTTGTGGAGCCTTTTTTATGTAACGGGACAACCGCAGATTGTACCCAATCCTCAGGCCACTGACCTGTTTTCCAAATCTTGTTACATATTTGGTGTAAAATCCCGATTCCCTTGTCATCCATGTGTTGAAGCATCGCCGCCGTCACGCCGTCAGGGCCTACAGCCTTATGCTTTAGTTTTTTGATGGCATCTTGCACCTCGGAAAGCAGTAAATGAGGCTCTTCTGCGTGGTGATCCCATCTTCTCTCAATAATCTGACCCTCTTCATCCCGATAGAGTTCATAACAGTAGTTCCTCCATCTCTCCAAAACCATTTCCAATTCTGTCAAGGTGTTACCTCTACTGTCATCATCAATAATACAGCTCTTTGGTTTGAAGGTACCGGTGAGTTGTTTAACTTTTAAGAAAAGGTCTTTAGTTTGTGCCCTGTCAGCATGCCTCTCAATCTCATTGCATATGTTGTTAATGTGCTCATCTCTATCTCTTCGGGTGGACTTTTGCACTTGAGCATGTAGTTGATTATAGCGGTCTCTCTGATTGTTTGTCGCCAGACCTTCACTTTTCAACGCCTTCCTTTCCTCAATCAGAGCCCACGACTCGTACTTATCCATTCCTCTTTCTTGGATACAACCTTGTACAGTTCCCTGCTCGTCTTTGCGGTATCTAAAATAGCTTCTTTTAGGATTCTCCAATCAGTATCGCTCGTTGGTATCGCTAGAGTCGAATGGGTCCCACACCAGTGACTTGATATTTTTGTCTACTGTATTGCGAAAATGTTCTAGAGCAGGTTTGTTCAGTACAGCAGTCTTTGAGGGCTTAGGACGAGTACTTTTTAGGCGTAATCTGAAATCAGCTATGACCAGTTCATGATCACTACCGCAATCCGCACCAGGCAGTGTTTTGGCATTGGTTACTGACGATCGCCATCTGGATTTGATCGTTATAAATTCTGGTTTGGTTTCTATGGCCATTAGGAGCGGTCCACGTATAGAGTCTTCTAGGGTGGTTTTTGAACCAGGAAATTATTCATGATGGAAAGCTGATTTTCTACACAAAAATGCAGGAATTTTTCACCTCTATCATTTCTTACTCCTAGACCGTAGTTGCCGACGATTGTGCCATTAAGTGGATCACCGTCTGTGCTGCCAACTTTCGCATTCCAGTCACCCAACACAATAGTTACTTCCCTTGATGGAATGGTATTTAGCAGGGCATCTAAATCGGCATAAAATTGGTCTGACACTTCCTCAGCTGACAGAGATGTAGGAGCATATACCTGAATTATATTGATTGGTACATGGCTGGCATCTAGTTTAATAGCAATCATACGATCGTTTGGAGTGAGATATCCTTTGACACTGTTCTGTAACTTTTTTGGTAAAATAAAAGCGACTCCGTTTCCACTATGGTCTTCAACACCGACATAATACATCATGTTGCCGCTATTGGTCGCAAAATGACCACTTCCACGTCGATGCACTTCACTAAGCCCTAAGATGTCAATGTTGCACCTTTGCATCTCCTTCTCTACTATTTCTAACTTCCCAGGATGCAGAAGTCCTCTGACATTCCATGTCCCCATGCGGAGGTGTTTTCGCAATGAGGTTTTTCCAGTACCTTGACCAGTAGCATATTTTCCACTTACTGTCTGGTGGTCCGCAGTTAAGTGGCCGGTAGCCAACTACCCACCATGCGACCCGGAATCATCATGGCGCCGAGCGTCAGTCGGATCGCATGACATCACACATCTATTTCGGATATTGTTCATGTGGTTTTCATGGGAGAATAGTGCAGTAGTAATCCCCTTGCTTTCTGCACCAGACATTTTAGGAGCCATTTGAACCCCAAGGCCGCTGTAGTCTCTTCCATCCAGTTTCCCGGTTGGGTATATGGTTATACCGTCATTGCTCGGTCGCCAGAGCCTCGTCCGTTATCTAGCAGGGAGCACCACGACGGCTGTGAGACCATCGCCGTCGGCAGTCTATGCGAACTACCTCCGCGGGCAGGTGAGGTTGACATTTGGGCCGGTGTGAAGATGTTATAACCGTTCTCCCCTTACTCCCCACTTGCACTCCTTACTTGCGGGACTTAGTCCGCTTTAAAGTTGCCTTCTTTGGCTCAGTAGTTCTGTTCGGGATTCCAAGTACCAGTGCATACGTTTAGAAAACTTTCAAAATAAGACTGTATTCTCATATTTTCATCTATGTGCCTTGGAAAAAGTTTTTCAGTTGGGCTTTTGTCTTTAACTTTCTTGAGCCTTTGATCTTTTCTTTCAGATTGACAACATGTCAATAAATAGCAACGTCCTACGCGCGAGTTACACGCGCAACGTGAAGAAAGTGGTCTCCTGTCTGTCCACATGCATCTTCCCTAATAAGACCACCTACCCAATTGACGAGACCATGGTAAGCCCATCTACTTATTCGAGCGGGACAGCTAGTCGTCCAACGACCCGATGAACCCTGGTGTTATAGTTTTTCAACCACCTACTGCAAGCAGCAGGCCTCTGACATGTATTGGGATTTCAATGCACTCACAATGCTATAATATTATTCTGATAGATGTCGCTTAAATCGCCGCTTCGAGAAGAGCATCAAGAGGTTGAAAATTTCAATAAGGTTGGCCAAGCGTCGGAAACTTAGCTGGCAGAGTCCCGGATTCAATTCGCGACAGCCGACGACGTTAACGAATATTCTTATTTTCATGCTATTTATTTATAACGTTAGTAATGAATGATAATAAATCAAGGAAATGTACCAAATCCAATGTTATTCTTTCAGGTCCACAACGGCCCACCTCATCATTCTAACTATGGATACAGTTACGCAAAGAGAATGATCGACATTCTAAACAGGTACCTACAAACTTCACGATTGTAGTTCAGCTGTTCCGTATTCTTGTCTAGGAGAATTCATTAAACATAAAATAAAATAAAACTTGCATACTGCGCCCAGAGAGAAGCTGTGAAGCCAAGTCGCTGGTTGAAAGTTAATGTTTGTTATACAAAATAAAAACACTCGAATTACTACAATATTCAAATTATATTTGTCCGCTTCATTAGAATAGTATCACACCTATTTCAACCCTAGGGTATCGTAAAAGGCGACTAAGGGATAATTCAAACCCATAACGGTGCAATAAAACATCTCTCTCTTTCTTTGCAGAGGCTACGCGCAGCAACACGGCTGCAAATTCACCAGTGTGATTCCTTGCAATGTGTTCGGTCCACACGACAATTTCCAACTAGCTTCGTCTCACGTCATCCCCGCGCTGATTAGACGAATGGACGACGCTATTCAGCAAGGTAGGCTGACCACTACCTACCTGACTGATAAAAGAAGGGGACCCGAAATGGCAACATTATTGTTCAAATCTTGCTTTACCTGATGCAGACCACCAGCATCCCATCTAAACTCTAAGAGATACGGTATTGGCATCAAAATAAATGTTGTTCAGCACGATGGGCTGCTTTTGCTGGCACATATGGTACTGATGAGTCACTTCTGCTGAAACGGAGTAATCGACTTTTCACTACGGGGTAAAGGTCCAATTTTTACGGGAGAACAGGTAAGTAGCAGCGGGTGAAACCGCTGGGCGGGCCGCTTGTCAGTGATTTATTGTCAACATTACAAGTTAGTTTACAACAATCTATCGGCTAGTTGACCAGTGTGATCCCTTGCAATGTGTTCGGTCCACACGACAATTTCCAACTAGCCTCTTCTCACGTCATCCCCGCGCTGATTAGACGAATGGACGACGCTATGCAGAAAGGTATAAATAACGCATTATACTTTAGGTATAGTGCCCCCAAAACAAGAAATGTACATACAGAAAAAAACAGGCATTCATTGGGGAAAAAATCCATGACACTTTGAATATAATAAATTGTGGACATTCCAATGTGGAAGCTTTTTCTTGGGGAGCTTTGTTTAAAATATGTCCACTTTGGGAACATTGTCTAGAAACATTGTTTAATATACAAAGTATCTGGGATTTTCTCCCCAATGAATACCTGGCTAAAACAAAGAGCGGAATGTAGGCCTTATAGATTGATAGCCACATTGCCAACTACCAAGTGAAATAGGCTATGGGCTATGGCGATACCTTGCAATGTGTTCGGTCCACACGACAATTTTCAACTAGCCTCTTCTCACGTCATCCCCGCGCTGATTAAACGAATGGACGACGCAATGCAGAAAGGTATTCATCACATAAATGAAAATAAGAAATTAAAGAAACTGTCATGCATCGACCAGGGCTCGAACCCGGGCTTCATGGGCCAACGCCCCACCGCTCTGTCACTGAGCTATCGATGTACCTGTGGATGCCTGCGAAATTTTTCAATCTCTTGATGCTTGTCTTCAAACGACGATGTCATTCATATCATCCAATCACCCTATTGTCTCAATTTGCCATTTCGGGTCCCTTTTTTCTTGAATTAGGTTATTATTTCTCACATTGTCACTTAACATCAACCTATTGATGGACGTGGGCCTCCACAAGGATACGGCACAAGGCACGACGAATTCGCCATCCAGTCGCTACCAGCCGCTCTTTAAGTCATCGGTCCATCTTGAAACTAAACAACTTGTTGTCAACGTATCCCCGCCTTGTTGTCAACATATTACCGACTTATTACCAACATGTCACCGACATTCCAGTTCCATCGTCCTGCCCTTATCCCAATTACTTGAGGTCGGCGCAACACTTTTCGTTGAACACAAAATCGTGTTGCAAAAGGATTTGGCTGAATTTTACGACCGGCCGCCTACCAGACGTCAACCCTCCTTGGGAATGCTTTCGTGGTGGATTATTCGCCACTATACGGTTGGCTCTGGCTGTTTGGGCACAGAATTATAATAGTAGTTTGGGTCGGGTTTATCCCTCGGTCGCCTCTTACGACCCCCACGGTAAGAGAGGGGGTGGTGCTATTCTACTCTGCCGTCACCACACGGCAACCGACATTCCAGTTATTTCCAGTTAAAGTCAGTAAGCTCAAAATCGTCGCTAGTACTGAGTGAGCCATCTGTAAAGGCGCCTCGCGCGCCGTCTTCCTAATTTGTGCTCAAGATATCAATATTATTTGCAGGCGAATCCACGTTCACGGTGCTGGGTAGCGGCAAGCCCCTACGTCAATTCATTTACTCACTGGATCTAGCGAGATTGTTCCTATGGACTCTGAGGCATTATGACTCCACGGAACCGATTATTTTGTCAGGTGGGTATTGTTCATTAAATTTTCGGGGTTATTCCAATCTGCCACCCCAAGATGGACACTCTAGGGTGGACAATTGGACACCCTGGGGGGATATATTGGAAAAGTATGTCCAACCAGTCACTCAGAGCTAGTGTGGATACATAGCCAGGGTGACTGGTTGGACAAACATTTTCAACCTAAATTAAATAATGAGAAAATTTAAAAATTCACTAGCTACCGCCGGGACTTGAACCCGGGACTGTGGATCACCGTTCCACCGCTCTACCGACTGAGCTACGGGCGCCTAGTGGACACTAGAAAATTTTTCAATTTACTCATAATTAAATTTATGTATGAGAATAATATAGCGCTGTGAGTTCATTAAAAATTCCAATACATTTCCAACCTATTCCCCCAGGGTGTCTAATTGTCCATCCTTTGACGTAAGATTGGATAACCCCAGTTCTTAGTAATTATTTTTATTGGCGTTGAAAGCTATATTAATTTTCAAAAATTACAAAACATGTCTCTACCGTTCGAAACGTTTACACTTGTGAAGATTCACCTTTGAAGATGATGATAAGCCACTAAGTTGACCAGTTCCAACCCCAGCAACTTACATGGTCAGCCATATTTTAGAGTACCTATTTTATTTTGACCTTAAACTTTACCTTTCGTTATAGTATAGGTCCGTTCGGTAGCGTTATGAGGAAAGACTTTATCAATGAGAGCTTAGCTATAGATACACAATCTTTTTCAAAAGTATTTAACCCATTCACCTTCTTTAATTTCTTCAACAGTAAACGAAGAGGACGAAGTATCAATATCAGCAGTAGCCGAAGCTATAAAGAAAGCCCACGGTTTCACCGGAGAGATCATATACGACACTACCAAAGCCGACGGGCAGTATAAGAAAACCGCATCAAATAAAAAACTAAGGGATTTGTATAAAGACTTCCAGTTTACGCCGTTTGATAAGGCCATTCAGGATACTGTGACGTGGTTTAAGGAGAATAGGGAGACTGCTAGGACGTAAAAGATGGTGTGATGATCGAATTATATACGACAGCTCCCCGCCGCGGTCAGGTCGCAAGTTTCAAAGAAAACGCAGGAATACACTACGACCGAAATTACGCGACTGAAATTCGGCGGCTGAATTCCGTTCCGTCAGTTTTCGGCGTTTTAAATTACTTACAAATCATGCCGAATTACTTCGGACTGACATTCGGCGACGTAATTTCGGCTGAAGTGTGCCACCCGTACTAAATATATCATTGCTGGCGTAATTGCACCGAATTCCGTCGCGTAATTTTGATCGTAGTGTGTCGAGACACTAAGGGATAACTATCCGAATACTTCCTGATAAAGGTCAAAACCGAGCGTAACGGCGTTATAGATAGTATGGAGTCTTTCCGACATCCCCATACAAACCAGTCATACTATGAGAGATGCATTTATACCATAAAAATGTAGAACTTAAATAAGAAAATATTTGAAAAGACGTAAAAAAAATACTTCCTCTTTTAGTAAATGCAGTCAGCTGATCGAATGAATTTGTTAGGAAGGTAAAATATTTTTTTTTCTTTTCCTGACATATTATCTTTGTTCAGTCATGGTCTGAATTCACACTATCAGTATTCGGAGAGTTGTCCCTTACACCCAGTATATCTACAACCGCTCTCCGCCGCGGACGAGCGGTTTGACCGCTGGCGGATGGCGGACAAATATAAATCGAGGCAAGTGTAAGCCTTATACTTATCTATTTGTGTATTATACTTATATAGGATATTATTTATTGAATAAACATGATTTATCGTTTACTTACGTTTTTATTCATTTCCTTAATTTTTATGATTTACATATCTTCTTCCATAAAGGACAAGTCACACAAAAGTACCATATCAAAATTCGGTCCCTTACACTCTACCGGGAGTAACGGACAGGGTATAACAAGCCGAAAGGAGGTGGTGAAGGTACTCATGAAACTGAACAACTTTCCCCATGGAACATGGGTCTAAATATGAAAAAAATTTGGACCTCCCATAGGAAACCAATTAGCTAATCGGCGATTTTGTATGAGAGGTCCAAATTTTTTTTCATATTTCGACCCTTGTTCCATGGGGAAAGTTGTTCAGTTTCATGAGTACCTTGACGTCCTTTCGGCTTGTTATACTTACCCTTTCTGTTACTCTCTGTATAACTCGACCACTTACAGCGCGCGCCACTTATACCTATGCATTTCCTTGTCGCACAGGCCAGGAGCATTGTAAGTTCGACAAGGAGGCTCATATTTCAGGATGGTCATGAACACGCGCGCGCACTGTTATGTATTTGTGTCAAATAATAGCGATGCCCGAGTCGTCATAAGTGGCGAAAATCTTCTCAATAGCTGAGATGTAAGCCGACGCACGAATATTCATGCCGAGACTATAGGTGTTTGACGTCGCCATCACAGTCTGAAGACAAACGCAAATTAGTACATAATGCCCAATTCGCAAAATGTCCAATCATACTTAAGGTCAGGATCATCAAAATGTCCAACTCAAATCCTGATTCATAGAAGAAGGGGACCCGAAATGGCAACTTTATTGTTGAAAAAGACGCAAACAATAGGTAATGTTTCCATTTCAGGTCCCTTTCTTCCACTGTGTTCTTCCATGAATCAGTTTATACCTACCGACCGGCGGTGGCGCGGCGACCGAGCGCGGCGATCAAAAGATTTGCTGTCTTTTAAGAGGAGTTTTCAAAGCATTGATGTTTTATACTTATCTATTTTCAAAATAGTTTACCAAATGAAAAATAAATTAATTCAAAATATTTTTAATAACATAATTCGTAATTGGTATGCACTAAATAAATAACTAAGAACAAACAAAACAGCTTAATAAAAATACACGGTAACAAAAATATAAGCGCACGGTAGTGCCGTGGGCCAAGTCCAAAGCTACCAAACATTTTGAAGCATTTGAATTTGTCACCATGATTTTTCTTGAATATTTAAATTCCTAACAATCATATCCTACGATCAAATTAATTATAATAAAATAAAACTATATTGCCAGGCCCTTTTCGTCGTAAGTTGTAAAAATCCTCTCGATCGCGTTAATGTAGCCCGCCGAGCGTATGTCGAATCCTAAATCGTAAGTTTTTGCCGCACGCATCGTCTTCTACGAAATAAAAAAATAATAAAATAAATAAAAGCTTACTAAAATAACATGGTGGAATCAAATATAGAATTATTTCGACATTACTGGGTAAGTTATCCGAAGTGAATGGTAAATTTTGTTTGCCTCTACGAGTTATCTCTTCAATTATTCAACAGGCTACATAACGTGAAATGCTTACATGACAGGCGTTCGTCATGGAATATTCCAGTCCTGTGTTGACGATGTGCTTCTCTCCCGCGCCTGACATCATCGTTTGAAACAGGGGCGTTGGTGTGATCTTAGCGTCTATGTTGGCAGCCTTCAGAGACTTCTCTACGGATTCTGGTAAAGAATTTAAGAAAGTTGATTCGATGTTATCTACACTGCTATCTCTTGCTAGGTTGCTAGCAGTAGCATGTTATACATTGGTGCCAGTTAAGACAAATGGACTGTGAGTAGCTTGCAATCAGGTTCAATTTTCAGAAAATAAAGATACGTCTGCGCTTCGAAGGACACGTTAAGCCAAGGTTAAGCCGCGTGCGGGTAATATCTAGACGGCGGTCGACACACAGCCCATGTCAAAGGCCTACTGCTGGTAGTACGCGGTTAAAAAGCTCTTGGTACCAGGGTTCATCAGGTCTTTCGTCGACTCAGATGAACCACACGAAAAGTAAAAGAAATACCCGAGAATTTACCTAAGAGAGCGGTGTTAGAATCCCTCCAAAACTTGATGCTGAGCTTCCCGAAGCTGACATGGTTGAGGTTCTTCAGAAATTCGAAGTAGGAGACAGTGACGCCGCCCGCATTACAAAGCAAGTCCGGAAGAACAAGTACTTTCTTGTCTTGCAAGATTTTGTCAGCAGCCGGGATAATAGGCCCATTTGCACCTTCCGCTATAATCTAAAAAAAACATCACTAAAAATCACACATTTCAAAGCGCAGTTGAAGATGTCAAAAAAAATTCATCAAAAAT